CTGTTTGTCAATATAATTTAAGAACTGGACATATATTTTTGTAATTTTTAAAAATGTCTATTTTTTGCTTTTTTAACTCATTCTACAATAATATGTCAAAAATGGACATAACTTTTGGGTAACCTAGGAAGTAGATGTAAAATTGGACATAGTTTTTTGTAAATTTAAAATTTTAAAATTTTAAACACAGTTTTGGCTGTATTAAAATGGGACAGACATTTTATGAAAATTTAAGCTGTGCGTAGTTTTGTCGTTATTTAAGAATAGGACAACATTTTTGGTAATATAACAACTGGAAATACATTTTTGTACTTGTAACTAGATACATATGTTTGATTATTTAAAAACTGGTTGGTAATTTCAGAAGTGGACGTAGATAACTGCACATGACTTTGGGCAAATTTAAAAACTATAGTTTAAAGGCTTGACCAAAATTTTTGACTATTTTGACACATATATTTTTGAAAACTTTGATATATACGAAATATTGTCCTTATTTAAGATGTGGACATAATCTTTGGTATTTTAAAAACTGGAAATAAATACATTTTAGTACTTTTAAGACTAGATATAATTTTTTGACGATATAAAAATTTTCAATTGTATAAAAATAACATATGTATGCAAATATATTTTTGGCTATTCGAGACATGGATTTTTTTAAACTGGACATCATTTTAAAGAATTGGACAATCTTTGTAAATTAAGAATTGCGAATTTATTTTGACATACTTCCACAACATAGTTCCTATTAAGTTAGGGAATCCTTAACTTTACTTAATACTTCAAAGTATTTTATACTTACTTTTGTTTCAAAATTTTTAGCTTTATTAAACAGAAAAATTATTGACCTTTGACATTGGCGGTATGCATCGTACTCCTTTTTTTGCCAAATTAGTTAAATGAAAATGTTACGTATACGCACTGAAGATTTCCAAGATTTGATGTATGTAAATATTATTAAAATAATGCAACTGTAGCAAGGAAAAGCTAAAAGTGGTAAAAAAGCAATGAATTCCAAGTACTTAGAAGTTAATTTTGCATTTTTCTAAAACAAATTTTCTTTACCCTCTTCTGGCACATTTTGCTTTTTGCTCAATTTGCTAAATTTAAATCTCCCTTAATGACCGCTAATGTTATTATTATTGCAATACTTAAAAGTGCAGAAATGGGAAATATTTATGCGCTCGCCCCAAAGCATATCACACAACTACTGGTGACTGGTGGCGAAAATAGGAACCATATATTTTTTTGGGAATTATGCACACAAAATTATTCTTTTGCATCAAACGTAGAAAAATGCTGACTAAACGTTGAAAATGGTAAAGTCTAAGAATACCAAGTGCCATGCGCTCGCACTAGTGCCGCTAAATTGAGGTATTAGGTGCTGAAGGGAGTGCAGTTGGTTGGTGGTTTGCGCCACTAAAGTTGCCGGTGTTGGCTAAAATTATGCTAATATGTATATGTATGTATGTATGCACATAAGTAGGTATTTAGGTATATGAAGATGGGAAAAATTGCAACTACTTAAAAGGGCAAAGCGAAAAAATTTTGCATACTCAGCTTTTTTACGGTGACCCTTTAGTGTAATGGAATCGTTATAAAAGCGTGATTAAAACCACTTGGAGAGACAGCATTGCGAGGAAATAAAAGCATTAAAAAACTTGTTTATAAATACAAAATATTTTTCAAGGTCAAGCAAATGTTAAATGCCGGTCTATGAAAAAACAGCTAAATCTTAAAGTAATTTTGGGGTTATAGTGTTCTTTTGAATTTCCTGTTAAAAAATATGATGTCATTCGGATTAAGCTGTTTGAACTTCACCATTAAGATCTAGATTGGATGGGATTATAAAAATACCGCGATCGCGAAAAATTAAAAGAATTCTAAAGAATTCTTTGAAAGAGCACTACATACTTCATTTCAGAAAACAGGAGAAGCAGGCTGTGCCAACCGTTCAAAAGAGATGTTAGAGTAACTTCTCCGTACTCCTTTTTCTGGCTGCGACTCTAATCGGATTTCTGTGTCAATCATATATTTCATCGTATATCCTCTAAAGAATTGAAAAGCCCCTAGGCGCTGCACCCTTACCTAAAAGAACTTCCGACGGAGACTGGACTCCATTCAATCGTGTACTAAGTAGAGGCCCCACGGTTAAAGAAGCAGTTTACGCTGGCAGTTTTCTTGAAGCGTGAAATAACGTCGGCTTTAAGACGATGCACAGTGGTCTGAATAGAAAATCTAGCGGGACAAAACTATTGCAACAGATTCGCGTTCTTCGCATCCACTAGTTTATCGGGCCACTGATTACAAATCTTCAGTCAGGTTTCAAAAATCCAATAGGGCCGACTAGATATGGCGGGCACATTTTTAAGAATTTATTGAATTCGCTCGGAACTTGTTGGTCGTTGGTTGTAGGGGTCGCTATTTAGGAATCTGACCATGAATTTTTAAAACTCAAAATGACGAATCCAATATGGCGGAATAGTTTTTAAAAACTAATTGAATTCGCTCGAAATTTGTTATACGGGAGCTTGGTAGTATTTAGGAATTTTTATTATAGCTGATTATGAAACTGAACCTCTTCGTTTCAAATATTGAACAAAGTTGGCAATAATTTTCTGTGTGTGTGTAGTTTAGATATTAAATAATAACAATATGTCAATCGATTTTTGGATAAATGTGACAGACATTTTTTCTGGAATTTTGAAATCTAATATAAAGTAGTCGAAAAATTGTAGTTGCACCACATTTAGACAAGTTTAACATTTTTTGTTACTTAATTTTGGTTATTTTTTTATAAAAAATATAATTATTTCTTTAACAAAATCCATGTAAGTCCAAATTTTAAACTTTGTGCAATATTTAACAAATTTTTATATTTATATTTATTTTTATAAGAAATATCTAAAGTCAAATAACAAAAAAATTGTATATTAAAATTTGTCAAAATGTGGTCCGGTTATAATTTTCTCGCCCACTGTAACGGTTTCCGTAGATGAAAACATTCGCCAACATGTCAAAATTGTGAGAGAAATATTTTCGAAGGAACAAAACTGACGACAAGTATATAAGTAGTAGTATGTGAATGGTATATGCAAGCTCGGCATACATGTACACATATATGTATGTATGTATGTATATTTGTACTTTTTCTGAAGTTTTTGATTTAATTATTTTTGCAAAGTTAATTCTCTTAAACTCTCTTACTTTAAACATATCAAAATCAACCACCAAGCAACTAAGTTTCTTAACTTCGCTAAAACGCACATTTTCTATAAAGTTTTGCACGAAGCCATAAATCTGGTAGCACAAAAAAAGTAAGTTGTGTAGTGAATTAAAGGAAATTTTCAGCGATGAGAAAAAGTTTCGTATAACGACTTTAGACTTTTGCTAAATGTCAACAACAATGAGCTATCGTATATAAGCGTGTAGATATATACATACAAACGAAATATATGCGTTCGTATGTACATATGTATGTTTGTACATATGTAGTTAGGTAGGTGGTAGATTAAGTAACTACAATATATTTAAAACTCTTTGTTATTCATGCCACTTTCATGGTTTTGGCTTAAAGTACTTTAGCTAACTTTGCGGATGTGGCAAAAAAGCAGGTGTTGACAGTTTTAGTGAAATTTGTAAAGGCAGGAAAAATTTTCAAGAATTTTGTAAAAGCAAAGCGTGTGGCCGGTAAATAAACGGCAGAAGAGGGCAAGTTAATGTCACTTGCTTAAGTTAGTTTAATTTTCGTAAATATATAATTGTACAAGAGCGATGGAAACTGTTTGCCGAAGAAAGCCTACTTCATTCGAAACAACTATAAATTAATTGCATATTAAAGAATTATCTTTACTATGGGCCATTTCAACTTTTAGTGCTGCTACAATCCATATCTGGAACCTTAGTCTGAATATTGAGAATCAGCCTAATTTTAGTTCATATTTGTGTCATCATCTCGGAAACAGGAAACTGCATAGACCACTAGGTCTCTAGCGGTACCTGATGAAAATCAAACCATAAGTAGACCCCAAAAGCATCAGGCGACGTTTCTACTAACCAATCAATGAGATATCATTTATAATGATAACGCCTTTTGCAAATTTAAGTAGCGCCTGTATCTCAAATTGAAGGTGTCCTCCAGTTGGCCGAACTGAAGAGCCCCTAAGCACTTGACTGGCCTGCTAAGGGTATAGGGTCCTATTGCCAACAAGTTTGCAATTTTTCTTATAGGGTGGAGACCGTTTTCTTACTCTTTGTTAATTTTTCCGATCTGAAGGATTGAGCTAGTAAGTTACTTTCGGCGTTTGTTCAATAATGTTGCGCTTTCTTCCTCAACCAAGTTATAATATTTTCGTCTAACGGGCATACGAAGAGTACCGGGCGATGAACCTCTGTAAAGCCGCTTTACGGACAAGAATACCTACCACTTAATTAAGCAAGACTCCATAACGAAGCCGTAAACTTAGATGAAGTAAGTCGGCTTTTATATGCGATGAGTTTTAAAAACTGAAAGCGATACTCGACCAAGCCTTAGATGACCTCGAGGACTTTCAAAGCGAGGGTATAAAATAAGTTTTAAAGTCATTGGCCTCATATGAACTCCTGAATTGTTGTAAGCCAAATAATTACGACAGAGATAACTATTTATATGCACATAGATTATGGAAATTTTATATATTGTAAGCATAAATGTATATATGTATGTACATATGTATATGTATATGATGTATTATGTGTATAAGTACGAGCCAACTTGAGTTCATTGAATTCATTAGTGTTTCTTTTATAATCTACAAAAGATTTCAATTTTCTGCAATTTATAGTGCAATTAACAATTCTTCTTTGTGGTTGCACTTCCGTTGCGCCAATCAGCGCATCTCTATGGGCATCAATTGACAGCAATGCTAACAAAGCTGCATACGTACATACATACATAAATATAAACTTATATAAAGAGGAATGCATAAAAGAAAAGAAAGAATATAAAAATAACTCACCGTCCAAGGGAGGCATTTCAATTCGCGAGCTGTTGCTGTTGCTGTTGCTGCTGATGATAAGCATCGTGTGAGTTGCATTGTCCAGTAACGACAATTTTTGCACAGCTCCACAGTGACACACAAATCAACTTGCCAGCCATTTTCGCTGATTGAAGTCATAAACTCGATTTGCATCGTCGCCATAGCAGCGTTTACCGAAGAATACCGTAAAAGGATACAACAAACAAATTTAATAAATAAAAAGGAAAATAAAGAATAAAAATAAAAAATAAAAAAATCTACCGGATGTTGCAAAATTTATCGTTGCTGCCACTTTTGCGCTACCCACTTTGCGGCTGATCACCACAAACTTTTGGTAACACTAATGAATTGCTCGACAATTTGCTTTGTACCAGTTGATTGCCGTTTTTATATGGCAATAAGACGAATTAATTTGTTTACAACTACAGAAATATACAAATATATATATATATGCATGAATAAGTCTCAAAGTGCTATGTTATTGCTGTGTAATAAGTTATGCCAAATCAAAGCAGAGCGCGAAAATAAGTTTATCCTCGACTGTTTAATTAATCAGCGAGTTCAACCAGCCAACTCAGCGTAACTTGGCAGCAATTAGTTCTTATTGACACAAATTCTTTAATAAATTGTGAGCATAATTTCATACTTTAATCAATCAAGCAGACAATTTGAGATGCAATAAACTAAATATTTTTACCACAGCGGCAACTAATAGGCAGATTTTAGTGCTCCTAATGGGATATCAAATTACGCTTGTAATTACAGAGGAGTGGAGGGAATATGGAGATTAGTTTAGAAATTTCTGTGCAGGAGTTAAATAAAGAACTATAAAAAAAGAGTGCTTCCAGTCTCCTTGTTGGTATTTTGGTACTTTCGGCAGTATTGATTCATCCAGATCTAGGAATTTCATCTGACTAATCTCTATGGCAGGACACTTCATTGACAATGAGCCTATGATGTAGTCTGGTAATAAAATAAGGCCGTGATGCTGTGAATATTAACAGCTGGCAGCCGTTCGATATCAGCTCTTAGATGTTGTTCAATGACATGAGCCTCAGATCGGAGCATTGTGATACCTTATTAGAAACTTATTACTTGCTTCCTCTTACCTTAGAAGTGAAACCACTTTGTCGCTCTGATTAAGCCAAACATTCGAAAGAGTAGTGGAGGAATGACCGTCGACGAGGCCTGACAGTGGAATAGGAAATGCCCCACGCTTTCGATTTCCTTCACATCCGACAGCTACGAGAGTTTTCTGACGAGTAGACCCTACTCCCTACCTTCAGATCTAACTTGGAGTCTAGAGAATCAGAGTACGATATCAGGACCGAATCCTCTTCCCCTTCACTACTTGAGGGAATCCTTGTCCAGTAGGCCCGACTGCTTAGTCCAGGTGCCTAAAGTCTGCTGAATAATCGCACAGAATTCTAGAACCGAACCTGGTACCACTCCACTTCATCAACGCGTTTAGTCAGATAGCATAACAACTTGGCAGTGGTTTACCATATGGGTTCACAAGTAGCAAATGAAGCAAGGTATCTAGGGTTTTAGGCGGCGTTGAAGGTAACCTTTGGTGGGGTTTTTTTTTTGTAGATTTATCGACGGATGGCCACCGAACCGTGCTACCGTAAAATATAATGGAACGCACCACCGCTGTGTACGCTCAGTTCTCAATTAAAAAGTTTAAGGCCCCATTTTATTCCTATTATTGATTTACAGGTGTCCCTGTACGCAGTCATAGTCTACTTGCAATGCTCTTCTACATTGCACCGCCAAGTTAGCTTTCTTTCCAAAATAACGCGCAAATATCTAACTCCTTCCGAGAAAGTCAGCGCAATACCAAAACCATTGTCGTTTTTTAGGATCGACTCTGATGCCAGATACCTCGGATCAGGTTTCTACAAAACGTAAAGCGCATTGGACCAGGTCGCGTAGTACTTGGTTGTTAGCGGTGACCTGACAACATGTACCTTTTAACCGTGAAAGTAGAGTATTCAGCGTGAAATTCTAAAGGAGTGGAGAAAGGACGCCGCTTTGCGATCTACCGCGGTTTGTAGGGGTGCTCCAGCCCAACGTGAGTTAGGTCGCGGATAACAGCTTCTGGGAGAACATTATTTAGGGCACCCTCGAATACTATGCAAAGCGGTATCCACAGGCCTGCCTTTACAGCAGGCATGATGACAGCTAGATTGTTTATTTGTATCAATTTCCTGTCGGATTTTCAAGTTCAGTAGTCTTTCTAGAACCTTCAACAAGAAGGAGGTAAGGCTTATCGGTAGAAAGTGGCTTAGCTTCACGTGAGATGGTCTGCCACCTTTGAAAATGAACACAACTTTCGCCAGTGTCCACCCCTTGTGTATGAAACTAAGTCTATGGTAAGGTTTATAGATTCAGACAAGCATAGGTCATAAAATGTCAATGCCTGGAGATTTGTGCTGGAAAGACCTTATGGTCCTGGTAAAGGGTAGACCTTTTTACATAAATCTACAGATTCCAACAAGCGTCCAGAAAGAATGATGCTAGGCTTTTTAGTACACCCTGGAAAGTGTGCAATCATTAGAACCCCAATCAATTCCTCTTGGGATGAAGACCAGTCGCCATTTGTCTTCTGAATATGTGTAAAATGTATACCATGGGTGTTGGTCAGTATATCAATTGGGCAATCTCTCGAGGATTCCGGTCGTTCGTTGCCTCAGTTGGTCCTATTAGTGAAGAAAAATTACTCTTTAAAATTACCATTTAATATAAAAAATCCTCAAGGAATTTTATTCATGATAGGAGGAAAGGGAGAGGAGAGAAAAGAAAACTCCCAGACAATTTCTACTCAGAATCGGCCTGACAATAAGATTTGCGCTCGTGTATTTTAGAAGTTGGGTGGAGCAAAGCAATGCTTCTTTTGACGATATTAGGTTTGTTCTACAAGCTACTTGTAGAAAAAACTCGAGCAAAGTTCAAACTGTCAGCGTGTATCAAACAAACTATAAAACCAACTTGTGGAACGCTTATGTGTAACTCGAAGTGACTTCGAGTAGCTTGTGGAACAAACCTATTATGCCGCTCCAGAGAATCAGAAGCAGTGTAGTACTGAACAAGTAAGCTTGCACAAAAGAAAAAAAAATTTAAAAATTTTTTACTTCCATCTATTTAGCTNCTTGCGCTCGTGTATTTTAGAAGTTGGGTGGAGCAAAGCAATGCTTCTTTTGACGATATTAGGTTTGTTCCACAAGCTACTTGTAAATAAAACTTACTTGTGGAACGCGTATGTGTAACTCGAAGTGACTTCGAGTNTTTGCGCTCGTGTATTTTAGAAGTTGGGTGGAGCAAAGCAATGCTTCTTTTGACGATATTAGGTTTGTTCTACAAGCTACTTGTAGAAAAAACTCGAGCAAAGTTCAAACTGTCAGCGTGTATCAAACAAACTATAAAACCAACTTGTGGAACGCTTATGTGTAACTCGAAGTGACTTCGAGTAGCTTGTGGAACAAACCTATTATTGACGCTCCAGAGACTCAGAAACAGCGTAGTACTGAACAAGCAAGCTTGCACAAAAGAAAAAAAAATTTAAAAATTTTTTACTTCCATCTATTTAGCTACTTTTATGTACGAACGCATTGAACTTAAGTGTTTTGAATTGAAATATTAAACATAATAAAATTTAATTAAAAAAATGCATGTATTTAAGTAAGTGCCTTTTATTTTAATTTTCAGAATAAAGGCAAAAGCTCTGCTCTCAGAAGAATGCCCAGCCTCGAATCAAATAAAATCTTTCTTTGTTTGAAACTTGATTAAAATTTCGACATTTTCTATCAGTTGAAGAAGTTTATTTACATTTCCTGTATCAATATTTCCAGTTAGCCACTGAAATATCTAAGTTATCATTGCCAACAATATGTCAAAATAAGATATTAATACTGTCAATCGTTGTCAATTGCTTGCTACATGCCGTACGTTTTTGAAATGACAACATTTGAGATGCTGAAATAAGAAATATGTGACGCAAATAAATAAATTATGCGAAAAAAATAGCAAAAAAAAAACCAAAATGCAATGAGAGGATATGAAAAGCAATTAAGTAAATACATACATAAAAATATAAACTCAAGTCAAATAAGAGTGAATGCAGCCGCAGTAGACGCATGGTACCAACGAAAAATGCCTAAGTAAGCAGTTGATGGAATTAACATTCAGAAGTGATAGAAGAAAAAGCTGTTTTCGAGTATAACAGCGATTGCCCTTTGACAGATAATGGCAAACTGCCGAGTATACTTTCGCCATGTAACCGTTGCAAGTCCTTCTATTGGATTGGGACCAAACCAGATATGTACAATAGACCGTACTACCTTACGAGTAAACAAAACAATAGTTAGGACAAGAAACATTTTCTTTGTCTGAACCCAGGGATGCATTTTTAAATGTTTCGGTGACACCTACATTCAGCAATAAAAAAAGAGCGTTAAAAACTAGAGCAGGAAACTCAAATCCAATTGTAAATGCCGAACATATAACGAAGAATGTTGAAAAGCAACCCCTACGTTCGACAAAGGAAAGGAAATTTTCTTCGAATCGAAATACTTCCTTAGCAAAAGTTTAATGATTATTGGTGAGCTTAAATTTACTGACATTAGGGTGGTACATTAGCGTGGCAAGAGTGATCTGGTGGGTAAGTAAAATAACGGGCTACTCGAACTCAATGAACTTTAAAACAAAAAATCTTTATCCTTGACACAAGAAAATCGATATATCATACTTTAAGATCAGATTGTAAATGCCGAAGATATGATGAGAAATGAAAAAAGTCAAACCCTGTATTCGGCAGCGTCCTTAAAAGATACTTAACATTAAAATGTTTCAGCGATATTTTTTTTTGAGAGATCTCGTTTGACCAAATATTTGCTTAGTTTGGCGTAAGAGACCTTTTAGTCTTCAGTGTCCTGTAAAAATGCTTGCGACGATTCTTAACATTTACTTTAGCAGGAAAATCTCTTACAATTTTGGTAATTATAATAAGCTCTTTGCCCAGCGTTGTTCTGTTGAACGCCGACT